TCCAGACTCACTTGCAGCTAGGTATGGCCACATGACCAACATTTGACCAATGAGATGTGAATGGAATAACACGTGCAACTTCCAGGTCATTTCCTTAATAGGAAACTGTTTGCCCTTCCCCTCCTCTTTCTCCTTGGACTTGGTTGAGGTGGTGAAATAGCTTCAACCATGTGGAAGAGAACAATTCTGTATGGGATAATGGAGTACTAAGATATTAGGTCCCAGGGTGCTCAGGTAACTTTATGGAGCAGAGCCACCCTGATCGGCCTGCCTGCCTACCTCTGGACTTTTATGTGCGAGCGAAATAAATGTTTATCTTTTCAGGCCTCTTGTTTTACAGCAGCTTACCTTGTGCCTTGACAGAATGTAACTATAATATCTGCCAATATACTTCACATTGCTTTGTGAAAATCAAATCAGATCACACTTGCACTCCATCTTGTAAAGTATTAAGTACAATTCCAATACGAAGTATCATTGAACCTCAAAGAGAGAAGGCCCATTACATGTGTGTTGACTCCTTTGATACAATGTACTGAACACCTCCCATATGCAAGGGGCATGGAAGGATGTTAATATTGAGAGCAAACACTCTCAGGCATCTTGCTATACATGTCATCTTGTTCCCTCATCCCAGCAATTGTAGGAAATGAGTATTTTCATTCACATATCATAGGTGAGGAGACTGAAACACAGAGAGTTCACTCACCTGGTAAGGGCAGAGCTGGGCTTCATTCCCAGGCCTGTCTGTCTTCACTCCACATACCAAGGCTCCATCCCAGGCACTGCAGTCACTGCCCTCAAGGACCTCACAGTGCACGTGGCAAACAGATTCACAACCATTAACTGTAACACAAGGCAGAATGACATGAGTGCTATCACAGAGGCCTAAGAGCATGATCCAGGGGTATTCTACGGAGGCTATTAATTCTAGCCTAGGAGGTTGGGAAGGGCTTTTTACAAAGGAAGCTCCATTTGTAATGAACTTTGAGAAATGAGAAGTAGATAGACAACGAAGGGGAGGGCCAGCTGAGACACTGGCATGAACAAAGAAAGAGGTAGGAACATAGAGAACATGTGGGAAATGGGGAGCAGCACTGTGGACTGTGGAGGAGCTTCATGTGGGGGATGAGGAGGAGCTGGGCCTGAAAGGCAGACCAGGGTCAGACCAGGGAAAGCCTGTGTGCCAGGAGAGAGCCGAAATGCTGCTGTTTAGGCAACAAGGAATCAGAGATGTTTGAGGAGGGATATCATGCAACCCAATGCATGAGCTAGCCTGAAGGAACAGACAAGAGAAAAGACAGGGCTTGGGCTACTGCAAAATCAGCCAGACACACTGTGTGAGGGCCAAATGAATGGAAGGCAGTGAACAGCCATGCCTAAAAGAGATGCTCCCCAGGGCCACTGACTGGACATGGGCATCTCAACCAGCACTCTGAGATTTGGGCCACCTGTGACAAGCCTGTTTGTAGATTCTCTTTATAAAATTGGCTACAATGCACATCTCCAATCTTCTACTCAAATTCTTTTTTTTTTTTTTTTTTTTTTTTTTTGAGATGAAGTTTCATTCTTATTGCCTAGGCTAGAGTGCAATGGCACAATCTCAACTCACTACAACCTCCACTTCCCAGGTTCAAATGATTCTCCTGCCTCAGTCAGCCTCCCAAGTAGCTGGGACTACAGGTGTTCACCACCACGCATGGCTAAATTCTTTGTATTTTTAGTAAAGATGGGGTTTCACTGTGTTTGTCAGGCTGGTCTTGAACTCCTGACCTCAAGTGATCCACCTGCCTCAGCCTCCCGAAGTGCTGGGATTACAGGCGTGAGCCACTGCGCCCAGCCATTTTTTTTTTTTTTTTTTTTTTTTTTTTTTTCTGAGACAGTCTCACGCTGTCACCCAGACTATAGCACGATCTCAGCTCACTGCAATCTCTGCTTCCTCGGTTCAAGCAATTCTGCCTCAGCCTCCCAAGCAGCTGGAACTACAGGCATGCACCACCATGCCCAGCTAATTTTTATTTTTAGTAGAGACAGGGTTTCACCATATTGGCCAGGATGGTCTCAATCTCCTGACCTCGTGATCTGCCCGCCTCGGCCTCCCAAAGTGCTGGGATTACAGGCATGAGCCACCACGCCCAGCCCAAATTCTCTTTATTCTGTTTTTACTTTCAGTTAAGAAGGTTATTTCGGAAAACAGGGCATGTGTGTCTCCTGTATTGTAATTAAGCTAAAAGAACTAAGGCCTGGAGCCCATGATGTCCCACAGCAGCACCCACAGGGCCACAGCTTTGGCAGCCTCCAGGCTGGGACTTTGCCAAGTCAAAGTCTCACCAGCACACAGAAAAGATAGATCCCCATGCCGCATGCCTCTCAGCTTGTCAGCAATGCAGCATAGCTGTTTTCTGGCTCCTGGGCTGTAGAGGAAATGGCTGAGCTTTTTAGCAGGCAGCTGTGGTAAATAATGAGTTCTAAGGAAAACCCTGATAGCAAACTTCTTGAGAGCTACGAGGCAAAGGGCAAGACGGTGGCAGTGACAGACAGTGTTTGTGTAACCCTCCGCCACCCTTTCACCTGACACACATGGAGCTTTCTCTTTCATGACTGTTTTTTAGCCTCTTTTTTCCCTTTCAACCACCGACCACTCAATTCTTTGAGGGAAAATTAACATTCATTATGCAATTTATCTCTCTCCTTTTAATCCAGAGTGTCTGTCTCCAAGGCCCCTACTCAATAATTAATGTTTGTTCTCATTTCCCATTCTCCGGAGCATCTATTCTTGAACTGTAGGGTCAACAATTAACACTAATTACGGCTTTTCCTCTCTCCAGTGTTGATGCTCAGAATCCCAGGCCGCCTGCTCAGTCTCAGCTCTCGGTGTGCACGTGGCCCTGTGTGTGCCCCTCGATACAGAAGCACTAGAGGCAGGCTTTGTCAAGCCCCACTGAAGTTTAGCAAATCAGTAAAACCCAAACATTCTTTCCTGACAACCTCTCTAGTCTATTTGTTATCAGTAATGAGACAATGAAGCAAAAAATAAATAAATAGAATTATTTGGAAATGAGTTTGGGTGGCTACGTAGACTAGAAGATCTCTAAGTCTTTTCCGGTTTGAATTTTCTAGGATTCCTTTTTTCTTCTCTATTGCCCTGTCCCTGATATCTCACACCTCCCTCTCCCTTTTCACTCCCTGACTCTCTCTCTCTCATACACACACACCAAATTTCCCTTTAAAAACCTTTCTTCTGGCCAGACATGGTGGCTCACACCTGTAATCCCATCACCTTGGGAGGCTGAAGCAGGTGGATTACCTTAGGTCAGGAGGTCGAGACCAGCCTGGCCAGCATGGTGAAACGCCATTTCTAATAAAAATACAAAAAAGTTAGCCAGGTGTGGCAGTGGGCACCAACAATCCCAGCTACTTAGGAGGCTGAAGCAGGAGAATTGCTTGAACCCAGGAGGTGGAGGGTGCCAGTGAGTCGAGATCACACCATTGCACTCCAGCCTGGGTGACAAGGGCAAAACTCTGTCTTAAAAAAACAAAAACAAAAAACTGTCTCCCTTCATTTAGGACCCATTCAACCTCTTTGCTATTACCTCTCCCTTAACCTTCTCAAGTCTGTCATTCTAATTCTCATCTGTCATTAAAACAGCATTGTTGGCTGGGAACAGTGGCTTATGCCTGTAATCCCAGCACTTTGGGAGGCTGAGGCAAGCAGATCACCTGAGGTCAGGAGTTGGAGACCAGCCTAACCAACATGCAGAAACCTCATCTCTACTTTTAAAAAAATACAAAATTGGCCGGGCGCGGTGGCTCAGCCTGTAATCCCAGCACTTTGGGAGGCCGAGGCGGGTGGATCACGAAGTCGAGAGATCAAGACCATCCTGGTCAACAGAGTGAAACCCCGTCTCTACTAAAAATACAAAAAAACTAGCCGGGCATGGTGGTGCGTGCCTGTAATCCCAGCTACTTAGGAGGCTGAGGCAGGAGAATTGCCTGAGCCCAGGAGGCGGAGGTTGCGGTGAGCCGAGATCACGCCATTGCACTCCAGCCTGGGTAACGAGAGCGAAACTCCGTCTCAAAAAAAAAAAAAAAAAAAAAAAAAAAAAAAATACAAAATTACCCAAGCATGGTGGCACATGCCTGTAATCTCAGCTACTTGGGAGGCTGAGGCAGGAGAATCACTTGAACACAGGAGGCAGAGGTCACACCATTGCACTCCAGCCTGGGCAATAACAGCGAAACTCCGTTAAAAAAAAAAAAAAAAAAAAGCATTGTTTTAACTGATTTTCATTTTGACTGACAAGGACAGCTAGGAGAATAATTCTCACCCCAGATGACTAACAAATCACACACACAAAAAAAAAAATTCATTAGGGGCTGTGAAAAAGCCTGTCTGTCTTTTTGGCTAGGATCCCTCCTGGCTCCCCTGGTCCAACACTCTGTGCTACAGCTGCAGAGGGGGCTCCTTGTGCTTGTCTGTCATCCCCCATGGCTGCACACACTGAGACAGCTGCTGTTCAAATCTGGGCATCTTGCAGTGTGTATCAAACATTAACTGTTTCACGATCTTATTTTATCAAAAGTTCTCCTTGCAGAATTTTATCATTATGGACCCTACAGAATTTTACCTTTACACATCTTGGATAAAAACATTATTTTCCTCAATGCTTTTTAAATCCTAGATCAACCTTCTCTCCAGACTGTCATCTCTGGATTTTCAAAAACATCCAATTCAAGGTGAGGTGCAGTGGCTCATGCCTGTAATCCCAGCACTTTGAGAGGCTGAGGCCGGCAGATCACTTGAGGTCAGCAGTCCAGACCAGCTTGGATAACATGACGAAATCCCATCTCTATTAAAAATACAAAAAATTAGCCAGGCTTGATGGCATAAGCCCATAATCCCAGCTAGTCAGGTGGCTGAAGCAGGAGAATCACCTGAGGGAATAAATCTTTTCAAGAATTTTTCCCACTGTCAGGTAAAATATCTTATTGTTTTTCAGCCTATGCATCAGTCAATTCAAATATCAACCATGAAGAAGGGTCTAGTACTGAACATTTCCCTAAATGTAAGCTTTTCCCCTAAAAAGTTACCTCTACTTCTTTACGTAATTTGACTCATGATCATATTATTTCATATATAGACCTCCAGAAACCAATTTCTCCCCAAATATACCAATAAGTAGCCAAGAGAATTTACTTCTTAGAAAGCTGAGAAATGTGTTGTTCTCATGAGTTTGGGCAGCCCCATGGTCTGAGTGCAAATATTAGTGAGGAAGAGATGCTGGGTGGAACCAAGTGCTTGTGCTTGGTTGGCCTAGGGAAGGATAATATGCAGGATGTCCTGTGGGTTCTGCAGGTTATCCACTGTAGAATTCCCAAAATGAGGCAGACGTTGTCCCTGGAGTTGTGCATCACTCAGCCTGCACACACCCCACAAGCTAGGAGCCGATCTGGGAAAGACTCAGGCTTGAATTTTAAATGGAGGACTGGGGCCACGTCTCAGGCCTCTCCTCAGATTCCTTTTCTATCTCATTTCCCCCATGGAGAGATCTGCAAACACTGGGAGTGTACGTTGACTTTGTAGCTCATCCTCCACAGACATGGCTGCTGCTGCTTCAGACCAAGGAAAGGATGATTACCTGGAGACTTTCTCTCCTAAAAACAGTCTTTGATTAACAGAGAAATGTGTGTGGTCTTCCTGACTGCTTCTTTTGGGGCTGGGCAGCAATGAATCCCACATGAGGAAGCTGCTGTAGGAACAGGCAGGAGGCAGTGCCACAGATCAAGGGCTGTAGGCAAATCAGGGTGGAAGGACTGTTTTGCCAGAGATGGCAAAAGTAAGAGAAAAGACACAATCATATCCTTGCCAATCTCAAAATCTGTAAGCAGAGAAATACCTAGAAGTCTGGCCCTCTGTATTCCCCCTTGCCGTCTTCCTTGGGCAGAACTCCTGACGAAGGTAGAGTTACGGTGCCGTTTCTGCTCATTCTCAAGCATTCGTTAGAACTGGGCCAGAGCAGCTCTTAAATAGGAGCCCTTGCCAGGCGCGGTGGCTCAAGCCTGTAATCCCAGCACTTTGGGAGGCCGAGGCCGGTGGATCACGAGGTCAAGAGATCGAGTCCAACCTGGTCAACATGGTGAAACCCCGTCTCTACTAAAAATACTAAAAATTAGCTGGGCATGGTGGCGCGTGCCTGTAGTCCCAACTACTCAGGAGGCTGAGGCAGGAGAATTGCTTGAACCCTGGAGGCGGAGGTTGCGGTGAGCCGAGATCGCGCCATTGCACTCCAGCCTGGGTAACAAGAGTGAAACTCCGCCTCAAAAAAAAATATATATATATATAGGAGCCCTCGGTGAAAATGATGATGTCGGTGGTGGTGGCAGCGACAGTTACTGTTGTTATATATCCCTGATATTCCAAACATCATGCAGAGTGCTTTGCGTTCCTTTTTTTTGAGACAGTTTTGCTCTGTCACCAGGCTGGAGTGCAGTGGTGCAATCTCAGCTCCCTAAAACCTCCGCCTCCCAGGTTCAGCAATTCTCCTGCCTCAGCCTCCTGTGTTTTTAGTAGGGATGGGGTTTCACCATGTTGACCAGGATGGTCTCCATCTCTTGACCTCATGATTCGCCCACCTCGGCCTCTCAAAGTGCTAGGATTACAGGCGTGAGCCACTGTGCCTGGCCGCATTCATTATTTCATGTCATCCCCACAGCAACGATAGGAGATAAATCCTACCGTTATCTTCATTTTTCATCTAGGACAATGTGACTCAGAGAGGCTAAGTGACTTGCCCAAGGTCACACAAAGTGGTGAAGTCAGGATTGAACCCAAGGAAACTGTAGTTTTATGACTAGGCATGGTTCATAGCGGCATCAGTCTAAACAGGGGCAATTCCATCTGACAATATGTGCAAGTTCAGGAAGTCCTTGCTTAGTAATGAGCCATATGAACGAATGGGTTCTATCCCACTCCTGTTTCCCGCTCCAGTTCCCCCTACTCACATCACACACCCTTTTGTGGGTAACACTAAAAGGATTTGCAACTTTTAGAGATATTACAGGGAGAAGAAGAGAAGCTGGAAAAAAAAAAAAAGTAACAGTTTGGGAGACTCAAAGTCCTGAAACAAATTTTCAAGCAAGACAGGCTTGTTTACAGGCTAGCTCCACAAACCAAAATATTCTTCCTAATAGCACCTAAAATGTTACCATTTCACTTCATTCTACTATTAAAATCTCACCAAAGACTTACCTTGGATTAAGAAGTATCCTCTTAAGAGTCTGAGACTTCTGAGAGGTGAATGGTCTGTCACACTCCAGTAAAAGTGTATTTAATCAGATAGCTACTGTCTTGCAACCTAGCTGAGAACAGCTGCTCTGAAAGACTAAAAATTCTGATGGGGTGGCCATAAAGGTGAGTAATTTTGAAGTACGTACAGTTTTTTTGTTTTGTTTTTGGAGAGAAAGCCTCGCTCTGTCGCCAGGCTGGAGGGCAGTGGCGCGATCTCAGCTCACCATAACGTCGGCCTCCCGGGTTCATGCGATTCTCCTGCTTCAGCCTCTAGAGTAGCTGGGATTACAGGCCCACGCTGCCACATCTGGCTAATTTTTTGTATTTTAGTAGGAACAGGGTTTCACTGGGTTGCCCAGGCTGGTCTCAAACTCCTGAGCTCAGGCAACCTACCACCCTCCGCCTCTCAAAGTGCTAAGATTACAGGCGTGAGTCACCGCGCCGGCCGGAAGTACCTACGTGGAGCTTTAAGTGCGCCGGGCCGGAAGTGCGCCGGGCCGGAAATACGCCGGGTAAAACATCCCCGGCCCTTGGAGTGCCCCCGGCGGCGCAGATGAACAGGGGAACGTTAGGTGCATGGAGAAGGGGACTCTGGAAGGAGAAAAGTACCGAAGGGGCAATGACAGCGCACCAAAAGCTAACTCAGCCTATTATAGGGGGCCCCCGGAGCAACTCTAGGTCCAAGAAAAGGAGAGAACGCTTTGCTCCTTCTCACCTCTATTCCTAGTAACTAAAAGACCTTACTAATGCAAATCTCTTTCCTATTTCCAAGCTTTAGAACGCACTGTTCCTTCTGCCTCCTGGAGCACAGCTCCTCATCTCCTAACCAGCATTTTTTTAATTGCAATAAAATACACATAACATAAAATTTGCCATCTGAACCAATTTTTAGTGTACAGTCCAGTAGCGTTAAGTACATTCACATTATCGTGCAACCAATCTCCAGAACTCTTTTCATCTTGCAAAACTGAAACTTTATACCCATTAAACAACTCCCCCTCCTCCCCTCCCTTAGCCCCCGGCAAAGACCATTCTACTTTCTGTTATCCCCCAACTTTTACCCTTGTCCTGTCTAACTCCTGCTAATCCTTCACTTCCCAATTTTGTTCCCAAGCGGACCTCCCCGTGAAGGCTTTTCTGCTTCCCCCGGCCCTCCTTCCCTCCCCGCTCCCCACCGATGGGGTGACAGCACCCCTCCACATGCGAGAAACGAACCGTGCTTACCCCGTCACAACCACTGAGTCTAGCTCACTACATTGTCCATTTACTAGACTTTTCTCTCCATGAGACCGCAAGCTTTGTTTTCTTTTCTTTTGAGACACGATCTCCCTCTGATGCCCAGACTGGAGTGCAGTGGCTGGATCTCAGCTCACTGCAGCCTCAACCTCCCAGGCTCAAGCGATCCTCCTATCTCAGCCTCCTGAATAGCTGGGACTACAGGTGCTTGCCATCATGCCTGTCTTTTTTTCTTTTCTTTTCTTTTCTTTTTTTTTTTTTTTTTTTTTTTTTTTTTTTTTTTAAATAGAGATGGGGTGTCACCATGTTGCCCAGACTGGCTTCCAACTTCTGGGCTCAAGCCATCTTCCCACCTCGGCATCTCAAAGTGCTGGGATTACAGGTGTGAGGTACCACACTCTGTCACTAGACTGCAAGCTTTTTAAGGGCAGGGATCCACCAGCACCCCTATTACCTGGTAATATGCTGCTAACACACACCTGCTGTCAGTGCATCATAAGCATTTAATGATTTTAAAAGTTTAGCTACAATAGGGGTGAAATAGGCGCTTTTTTTTTTCCAGATTGACTTAGAAACCTAATCACTATGCAGAACAGTCTCTGCAGGAAAATGCATTTCACGTATAAGCATGGGTGCCTATTATAGGGTGGCTCTTTGACATCTTAGAACCTTATTTGTTCCCTTGATTTGCCCAATGACCTTAACAAAAACATTTTTTTCACTTTATGTTTAATATTCCCCATCTGTTGTTAAGGAAATAGATATAACACTACTTTGGAAATACCTGGGACGGGTGTGGTGGCTCACACCTGTAATCCCAGCACTTTGGGAGGCTGAGGTGGGCAGATCACTTAAGGTCAGGAGTTCAAGACCTGCTTGACCAACATGGAGAAACCCCATATCTACTAAAAATACAAAATTAGCCAGACATGGTGGCACATACCTGTAATCCCACATACTTGGGAAGCTGAAGCAGGAGAATTGCTTGAACCCAGGAGGTGGAAGTTGTGGTGAACCAAGATCGCACCATTGCACTCCAGCCTGGGCAACAAGAATGAAACTTTGTCTAAAAAAAAGAAGAAGAAAGAAAAGAAAATACCTGATATGCCCCTGGAACTGAGTTCAAAGACCAATTTAAAACATTATTCATTGAAACACCTATAGAGTTTTCATAATTTTGTTTTTTGAAACAGAGTCTCAGTCTATTGCCAAGGCTAGAGTGAGTGGCACAATCTTGGCTCATTACAACATCCATCTCCCAGGTTCAAGTGGTTCTCATGCCTCAGCCCCTCAAGTAGGTGGGATTTTAGGTGCCTGCCACCACACTCAGCTAATTTTTGTAGTTTTAGTAGAGATGGGGTTTCACCATGTTGGCCAGGCTGGTCTTGAATGCCTAACGTCAGGTGATCCACCTGCCTCAGCCTCCTAAAGTGCTGGGATTACAGGCATGAGCCACTGCCCCTGGCCTAGAGTTTTCATAATTTTTTCTTTTTGGTCATTTGGTTTTAATTTTCATATAAAAGTGAGAGGATTCTAAAAAGA